CCGGTGTGATCAGTGTGAGCTCTCTGTGGCTGCCTCATAACCCTGATACACACACATACACACACTCACGTCATCTGCAGCCCCGTTCTGGTGCGGCCTCATTCTCATTCCGCTCTCGCCGGCAGCATTTACCTCACCGCGCTCTCACACATCGCAAGGTCATGGGGAAATATTTCAGACGGAAATGCTCTGCGTAATTCCTGCACTGTGGCTCGCCGCGCAGAATTCCAAAGCCAATTTTCTTTGTCTTTGAGAAAAAAGGACGGAGAGACTCTAATGAGAGGATTACAACAAACTTTGTGTTTCTTTTTTTTTGTTAACTTTCTGTTCTGTAAAAAGCTCATCACCGTTTCTGCTCGGCTAAAAAGAAAAAAACAGCTTTTAGATATTTGTCAAGGACAGCAAGTTTGTTGCTTGAGTAATTACAATAATGTTCAAGAGAAAGTTTTCTTGAGCTAAAGTTTTCTTTCCTTAACTGATAAAAACCCTTCTCGGTGAAACTCGATGCAACATAATCAAAGCTGACTTTGGATGGAGTTTGAACTCTTCTATTCTGAGGATGTTTTCAAGCAAACTGTAAAAAAATATATATAAAAACTCAGGTCAACTTCTGCTTCAGAGGAGTTAGAGATGGAAGTTAAGGGAGGCTGTGGCTCAGTGGTAACTGGTAAATGGACTTGAGCTTGTATATTTCTTTTCTAGTCTTCTGACGACTCAAAGTGTTTTTACACGCAGCTCACACCTACACATTCACACACTGATGGCAGAGGCTGCTTGTAGTGAGACCATCAGAAGTAACTAATCCCATTCATACACTGCAGACGAAGCAGCAGGAGCAACTTGGGGTCAAGTGTCTTGCTCAAGGACAAGTCAGACATGTGGCTGCAGGAGCTGGAGATTGAACCCCCAAGCCTACTCCCCCCTCAGTTGGTAGAGTTGGTCCTCTTTTTTTTAAGATTTATTTTTGGGCATTTTGTGCCTTTATTAGAGAGCTAGGACAGTGGATCGAGTTGGAAATCAGGGAGAGAGAGAAGTGGGGAATGATATACGGGAAAGGAGCCACAGGTCAGATTCGAACCTGGGCCGCTCGCATTGAGGACTACAGCCTCCATACATGGGGCGCACGCTCTAACCACTGCACCACCAGCGCCCCAAGTCGGTCCTCTCTTAACCAGGTTGGGTTTGAAGTGGAGTAGGTTTGATGGCCTGTATAGAGAATGGAAGTCGTGATGTATTAACATATTGGATAAACAACAAATACAAAGAAAAACCCTTATACTCACAAACTCAAAGAGATGCTGTCCTCATCCGGCAGCTTGAGGATATAATAAAATATAATTAGAAATGGATCATAAAGCAGAACTCTGTGGACCCCCTACCTATGCCACTCATTGACCACAGAAAGGAAAGTAAGACTCTGGATAAAAGACCAGTAAACGTAACGTTCTCCCTCCCGACATTAGCCGACAGCTGCAGCAGATTAAAAGCTGCTAAGCAGTACTTTAGAAGCTCTGGTGTTTAAAGAGCAGCCAGGGCTTATTGTCACTTACCTAGCAGTCCCTTCATTTCAGTGTTGCAGGCTTGACTGCTCACAGCCATTCAAAGAGGGTTTTTTTTTTTTTTTTTTAACTTCTGTTTCCAGAGATATGTTCGCTTAAGGGAAATGGCCATTAAAATGTCATTACCGCTACACAAAAAAAAATCATTTTTAAAAAGCAAGGGTTCCCAGCGGCTTCCCACCGTAATGGGCTCGATACATTCCTTCGGCATCGGGAAGAACCCTAATGTTGCGGAACACAAATGCTAATCTCTCAGTAAATATCACTCAAATTCACTCTCCCTTCTGCTTTTCAGTCATAATAGCGTGGATTCATTCTGCTCTGCCCCGGCAAATTGAATTAATTCTCCAGGCAAAAGGCGTTCTGATTATTATAAGCTTGCCACAGTGTGGGTTGTAATGGAGATGATCCCAAAAGCATCAAACTCAACCTCACCTTTTTTTTTTTTGTTGTTTTTCCTTGCTGCGGCATCTCAAAGGTATCACTCGTCAAAGCTTTCTTTGATTACATTCTCATTCATGTGCACCTCTCTAATCGCCTTCAGACAGAATTCATATTCATGTCTCTGAATCAATATCAGATGTCTGCGCGCGCTGGGAGAGCAGGCGGAAAGACTCCAAGGGTCAGTCCATCAGGTGGATCAATTGATTAAGTGCCTAAGAAGCTGGAAGCACTTTGGCGTTTGAGAGGTTCAACTCTCTTTGCAGAATGTGATGATCATTGAGCAGTCCATCAAGATCCACTCTGAAGAACTCGTACAGGACTAACTTTGTTCTGATGTTCATTTCAGAGATGTGTCAGCTTCCTGTTTGGCTCACACTTTGATTCATCTCCTATCATTTAAGCTTTTACTTGAATTAGTTCAACATCATTGTTTAGTCATCGTAGTTTCTATTTTAGGTTCCTCAACCTGTTGTATCCACTACAATCTGCTGTTCACAGACACTAAACTGGATTTTTGTATTTTTCATTAGTTTAAATGTGTAGTACTCAATCCAACAACTTAACTCTGCATACCTAACGTGATATTAATAATATCCTGTATGAGAGCAGCTGCAACGCCCAGTTTGCCCCTGAGCATTAATGAAGTATTTCTGATTCTGATTTTGGTGAATCGTTTGGCCGCCGAAAAGCCTCACCTGTCCTCGACCAGATTTCTATGGATTTATCTCCCAGCAGACAAAGATTTGGCGATTGTTTTTGACAAGTTTTCAAGCCCTTCCCTAATGTTCCCCTGCCACCTTTCCAGAGGAGAAACAAAAACAAAGAACATCCTCACAATTAGCCTTAGATGGTACCTATGTTAATGTTGGACTTCAAAGTACAGTTGCTCTATATCAACCCCATTTTATAAAGTATTCATATGAATGTATAGTAGAACTTGTGAAAGAGCGTATTCATTGTAGATTTGCCTCAAACATCCTTTATGAGCCGTCCTGTATTTGAAACAATGACATTTGATCTTTCTTTGATGATTATTTTTAGCATATATTCCAAACTGTTCACTCTAACTTTTAAGCCTCATATTGTTCCAATGTTTCTTAAGTCATGGCTACAAGCGCGCCTCCCACTCACACCGCCATCTGAGCATGCTCAATTAATACCCTAATAGTGGCTGTCATCAGTGCATGGCCGTGCTGCGGCCTTGGCTGCCTACTGTAAACGCTTTAAAAACACCGAAGAGTGGTTGGGATGCACATAAATTTGGCTGTGATTATACCGCTCATTAACTTACTGCAACAACCTCTGCACTTATTTACTCAATTAACTTGCTATTTTAAGTTCTGTTAACATTGGGGTGTTTTATTTTCCTTTTTCTAAATACTTAATCAGCCATGAATAATGGAAAAGCGCTGCGAGCGAAAGCCACACGTTCACCTCTGAGACTCTCGGCGTATGGAAGGTGGCGAAATTAATGCACATAGCTAATGAGATAATTGAATCAATGGCGGTTGTCGCTGCTTTCGGGGCAGAAAAGTGACCCCTAGTGTAAAAGAGCTTGACCTGAAGTGACAACCAGGAAGTGTTCCTGCCAATGGTGAGGGGGGGGTGAAGGTATCTAATGGCTTTGCAGAACAAAACTGCGACAGTAGATTTACTGCCAGAGAGAGAATTTGTCTGTAATGGCACTGTCTGCGATGTTCTGTCTGTTTCTCTCCCCGGCAGACTGTAGCTCTGTAAATGACTTTGACCTTTCCTGGGACTGAGGACAGGAACCGCAGAGGGAGAGCAGAGAGAGATGGCGGGAGATGAGAGTAGAGTAGGCGGTTGACTGTAATAAACTCGAAGCAGTGGGCGGCTGTCAACACTAATAGATGGGAGAGGGAAGGGGGTCAGCGGGTTGATGAATACTAAAGGTGCCTGAGTCCTCAACAAGCACCCTGTTCTCTACCAGGCTGATGTGTGTGAGATCTGAGTCCTCGCACTGCAGGCAGCGAGGGCCCTTTTGGGGACTCTTGTGATGTATCGTTTTGCTTTTTGCTGTGGGGACACGGGAGCAACCTTATCTTGTTATCGAGTGCGTTAGCATAGAAGGTTATCTGGCTTTGATGACTGCAATATAAATGCCTTTCATCGCCTCTTTGTTATGTTGCTCTAGCTGAATGCATTCAAACAGGCACTGAAATGATAAATGGCGTCTTTTATCAGGATCTCAGATATGTGATGCCCTCTGAGTGTGTGACGCCTACACACACTCAACTGGGTATCTTTGGTGTCAATGATTGAACAACACAGTACAAACAGTGATCATGTCACTCATGGACTGGGGTTTTGTCACATTATTTGGCTTATTTACTTTTCTACAACAACAAAATGGCACTGACAGCTAGGGCTGAGAATCTTTGGGTGTCTCACCATTCGATTCGATTTCGATTCTTGGGGTCATGATTTGATTCATAATCTATTTTCGATTCAAAGCGATTCTGGATTCATGGATTCAAAGTCTATATTTAAGTTAGTACATCCTTCAGGATCTACTCCATTTATCTGTGAGACTGGCTGAATTTCTTGCTGATCCATTTGGCATTTTAGCCCTTAGCAGGGAGTGAATGATTAGCCTTTTTTTCTTTTTTCTTTTTGGAAATCATGACACACGTCTGGAAATAGTTTCAACTCACTCTTAAGTGGTGACTTATTTTGACAACATTGTGTTTGTTGAAAAAAGGTAATCTGAGTTCTTCAATATGTGGTAGTTACTTTTGAAAAAGGATGTTTGGTTGGCGACATTGAGCCAGTGAAGGTGTCATCTTAGCGTCAGGCTGCTGGTAATGGAGATTAGTTTTAATACCATAGGCAGAAAGAACATTCTTGAGATGATAATTAAACGTTTAGGGGTCATTTAAAGGTTAAATAATATCTTTGTGAAACTGTCCTTGAACTGTTCCTTCCTGTATTTCTGCGCACCTTTCTCACCGTGTTCTCCATCTTCTGTGTCCGTAGGAACGGGGAAAGATCGGCGTGATCTTCAACGTGGGAACGGACGACATCATCATCGAGGAGAGCGCGGTGATGGTGAGCGACGGCAAGTACCATGTGGTGCGATTCACACGCAGTGGTGGGAACGCCACTCTACAGGTGGACAACCAGCCAGTCATCGAACGCTTCCCATCAGGTAAGGAAAGAGTTCCCCCGAAAACGTGGGAGCTGACAAAGTGGAGCATTTAATGTTACATTTGAACTTTAAATGTATTGAAATCTTTTTTTTTAAATGTGGGAAACAAAATGGAGAAAGAAAGACGGAGCTCTGCCAAATAAATATTCTTAATCGATTCAGCTTTCCATGTTCCACAGAAAGGGATGTTTAAAGAACATTCTGTGTGCTTTATTTATCATGACATTCATATTTAGAGCGTGCCTGCATTATTCTTGGCCATTGATTCAAGTTCTGGTCTAAAAGGCAGGAAGAGCCAAACAGCCTTCTTGAGGCGAGCAATCTTCCCTTCTATGAGCGTGCAGCTCTGCAGTTAGTCTGGCATAGTGGCTCATGGCGCTGGGAAAGCAGACGCTGAATCAAGGCCAACAAAAGATGAGTATGCTAGTCAGGTAATGTTGGCGATCATGGGAATCTGGGGGGAAGGGGGGGCACTTCACACTGGGATAGCATGTTGAGCTGTTTGTAAGTCATGCCTTCGCTCCAAGATGTAACATCATTACACATACCGGCTGAGTCACTGCTGGGAGTGTGCTAATTCCCCCCCCTCGTTGTTTAACTCTAATCATGATATTCTATTTTGGCATGAATTATGAAGCTATTTTGGGGTCGGGAAGAAGCTCCCACTTTCTTTCTTTCTCTCTCCATTGTGTTTCCCCTTTGTCCATGGTTGTTCAAAGGGAAGACATTCAGTGAAACCCGTGATGAGTTTTTGGAAAACACCGGGCTAATTTACTCATAAATGTTGGATTTGATTCTTTTCGACCTGTTCAAACTCCATCTCCCCTTGAAGTCAATGCGTCATCACCATTGTTGTAAAAAGCGCCGTCTATTGTTTCAAACAGCGGGGGGAGAGTGCTGCTAATGTGGCTCTGATATTTACCCTGGTTGACATATGGAGCAATGGGTCCGTGACATTCTCTGTCACAGCAGTGATCTCGTATTCTGAGGCTTTGTTTTGGCATTGAGGGACGCGTACTCTCTCGATCATCCGTCAGCACAGTGAGGCCTGGACTGAGGCGCATGCATCAACGCCAGGGAGAGGAAGCACCCTGTGACAGTTCACTCTTTTCAGTTGTTATTATGATGGAAATGCAGCCCTTTTCAGAGCTCCAAAGAGGAGCCTTCATCTAACAATAGCTCTAACCGCTCGCAAAATAACAACAGAGCAGCCTGTTAACATTGGCAAGCGAGTGTCATCATCCAAAATCTGTTTGTTTCATCAACAAACATGAATGCACGGCCCATATTGGATTCTTTTTCTTCTGCCTTCTCTTCCTCCCTGCCGCTGTTGTTGTCAAACCGTTCTTTCCTTTTCCTCTGCTGATCAAGAATTTAAGACTTTTAGTTTGTTGTTGTTTGTTGGTTTTCTTGATGAGTTTTGTGTCTGTGTGCCCAGGGCTGGAGCCCGTCTGATGTTTAAGGAGGTTATGAGGACTGAGGAGAGGAAATGGATGAAGAAGAAAGGAGAGATAGGGGGTGGGGAGGGGAGGGGGTGTTACGTGGTCGGTGTATAAAGAAGCTTTGATTCATTTATGTGAGCTAGATGCACTCAAACTATTTTTGGGCGCCCTGCTTTGAAGGCTCCGGCACCCGCTTTGAAGGTTCCAGTCATCATAGTCTGGCGGTGCGGCGTCCTGGGGAAACAGAGATGTTACACATTAGGAAAAGCAAAACCTCGGGTGATGTCAAGGCACAAAAGGGCGGAGGAATACATGGGGGAAGGAGTCAGGGAGGTATGGGTGGGGGGGCTTTAGAGATGGCAACTTGCTTACAGCGACTGGAGGTGTAGTAAAAATGAATTGGGAAGCTTTTTTCTTGTAGCAGGCTTTAGGAACATTTCTAAAAAAGTTCAAGCAGGCTGATATCTCCCTGAGTAGCTGAGCTCACACATGCACCTCACAACAGACTGTCCTTGTTGGAGAGGGAGTTAGGGGCTCAGGAGGCAGGACATGACGTAGAAAGAACAACGTTGAAATTTTAACTGAGACAGAAAAAACAATGAAGCCGATAAATTGCTTGCACAGAAATCACAACAGTTAGGCACCGCTCGGAGGATATCAACAATCCCCTCAACAATTAAGTCGTGTTGAATTTTTCCAGATTTGTACCTGCTGCGTTCTAACATCAGCTCACCTCATTCTTTACTAAATGAATTTTACCAGGGTGCTGGCTGCAAAAAAATCTGGGTGAAGTTGGGATGAGAAATTGGCTGTTTTCCTGTCTACATGTAGCTCACCCTGAAAATGTCGGTGTCTCTTTAGCCAAGCGCAGCCGGGATTGGCATACTTCTCCATCGCAGCAGTAAATTGTCTCTGTCAGAATAGGGAGGGGGAATCTGCTTGGGGGCCTGTAGGAAAACGTCTAAGTGAAAAATGTGGCTGTTTCGTTCACAACTGCAGCTCGCATGGAAAATTTCAGGATATTTTCAGGAGTTTTTCTGTTTAGCTATTTTCGCAGTCACACATGCACTCCTGAAATTGGGAAAATTGGGAGGGAAATTGTCCCTCACAGCATGAAGTTTTCCCTGTCAGTCAAAGGAGGGGTAGGATAGGGGGGAAATACTAGGGGGCTGGCAGGAAAAAGTCTGGGTGAAGAATTCAGCCGTTTACAGTCACACATGCAGCTCGCCCATAAAATGTACTGTATGTGTGAAAGCACTGTAAGTGAAAAGAGCTCATGGTTAAGAAAGAAAAGATTCTCTTAAAGGGACAAAATACTTTGTACAACAGCACGATCCTACTTTGTTTTCTTGATGCAAATATTCTGCAGCGTCCTTGCCAATCTGTCCCAAAGGACAATCGTATCTAAAAAGTGTTTCAGATTTGGAAGAAATAGTTGTTTGAAAAGTTAAAAGATACCTCCAGTAAAAGCGACCGGTGCGATGTTACAGGTGCAAAATTTGTCTTGTTCCTCTGACACAACAAAGCTTCCTGTGAAGTCTCCTCCCTACAGGGACTGTTGTGACCCACATCAGGCGGTCTCTCCAGGATGCTGCTCTCCTCTGCTGCTTTGAGCATACAGAGAGTTACATGTGCCATTAATCATTTGTACACCATGGCCTAAGAAATGTAAAAGTTACCAGAAAGCTGACAATGGAGATGAAACAGAATTTAGATCTGTCCCCTTGCATATCAGACAGACATTTCTTTTTCTTTTTTAAATCTTTCTGGCATGTTTTTACGCACACTATAATCAGTTCCAACATGTTTGTTTGATTCAGAAGTGTTTGCTCTGCTTTCCGCACGAGGCCTCGGACACAGCCTGGGACTTGCCAGCAGCTGGCTCACAAAGAGATGGGCACATTGTAAGGTGATGATTTGGAGAGACAGGATGTTGACAGAAAACATACTCGTCACGGGTCATGCACACTCGACGGCGAGGCAACACATCTCCTGATGCCCCACGATGTGATGTTTGCAGTCCTCGGGGAGTGTGCGTCTGTGTGTCTGTGTGTGTGTTGTGCTCTGATTCTATGTTGCAGCAGTGCATGCGTCTAATCCCCGTGCATGACATGGTGCATCTTGTGTGTGTCATTTCTTTTTTTTTTTTTGTCATGTTTTTATTTGACGGACGCGGAGCAGACAAAAAGTGTCAAGAGGAGCACCGGGCCGGCTAATCCAGAGTGTCAGGTGTCCCTGGTGGCTACTGCAGCAACAGTTAATGGCCCGCCTCACCTACCACATTCCCAAAATGGCAGATTGGCTCAATAAAAAAACATGCCAGTGTCCCACTGAGCAGCACAACCTGGCCACGGATAAACAGGCAGATGTTAGCAGCAGTGCCATACGGACTGTAATAGTACCATTTCACACCCTAGTCCCTTTATTTACTGGTCATCTGCTGTGGGAGAGGTCAGCAGAGGTAGCAGATATGATCCAGCTAAATGTCAGGCTTCAACGATTTCTTTGCATAAGAATTATGAAGAACTTCTAAATTCACTTCTGATTAGCAAATAGGTGTGATTTCTTTTTCGCTGACAATGAGCTGCCAGGACATCGGGGCCTCAAAAACACAGCTCTTACAGGACCCAGAGCTTCTTCTTCGAAAGGGAAGTTTGGTCATAGTTTTCTTATGACGTGCTTCAATGAAACGTTTGCACTCTAAGAATATGACTACTGACCTCGGTTGGGATAATCCTCTCTGACTCATGAAGCTATCGAATCCTAACAGACAACCCCCTCAGAAATATTTAATAAAGAAAGAAATGACACATGCTCTCCTCCTTCAAATAAAAAGTTTAGTTCATGAAGAATAAGAGCACGAATGCTCTGTTGAATTAAAGCTACAGCCTTACCTGATCTGGCAGCCTTCGATGGCTAATTTGACTTGAAAGCGAACTGTCAAAAGATATCTTGCCCTGTAATTGATGTTACAAAGCCACTTTACTTTAGCATTAACCATTATTTTCACATCACCACTTTTTGATCAAGGTAGCTAGCTACAGCTTAGCTTAGAGCATAGCGTTTCTTTTTGTCCCGGTCCTAAAGTTAATATAATAACAGAGCATTTACACCGACAGTATCTGCACATTTTCCTCCATTGATTTACTTTAGAAGTGCATATATTCGTAAGAGTTCATCAATAAATATTGTATAGTTCTTTGTTATTATTAGTCTCCATACCACGCTGCTCGACCTTGTCACTCTCTGATATTGTAGTTCTGTCCCACTAGAGCTGTGGTTCTATAACTTTTTTTTTTCTGTCATGAAATCTCTTGTAAGGGTAAATGTGAGTCAGGTCCCGCCTTTCTTGTCCCCCTGTCCCCCCTGGGGGTCACGCCCCACAGTTTGAGAACCACTACTCTAGAGGGAAGTCAGAAATAGCGAGTCAGGTCCCCCCCCCCTTTCATGTTTCTGCGTCCCTCCTTGGGGTAGTGCCCCACAGTTTTAAGAACCACTGCTCTAGAGACTGCTTAGAATTAGTGAGTGTGGTCCCCCTTTCTTGTCTCCCTGTTCCCC